GTTTGGATCTAAGAAGCTGACTGCCTTCATCACCATTCCTTCGAGAGCGCGGTTTGGGCACATTTCCGTGTCCTGACCACATGTACACACAGATGGCCTCATGTTGGTGGCCTCTCCCGGGTAGTAGCAGCAACAGGAAGCCCGCAGTTTCTACCAAGCTCTTCAGATGGGACAAACACTGCGCTCTTCCCTCTAAAAGCATCATCTTATGAAATATTTATAACAACACTTGAGGTGGATTATATTAAGGCCAATTTAGAGATAAGGAAAAATTGAGTCTTAAAAAAACAAACAAACATAAGTGTGTTGCCTGAGACAAGACAGCAATAGAGTTGGGGTTTGCTAAAAGATGTGCAGACAGCCGAGCTGGCACGTGTACGTGCGTGTGCGCGTGTGTGCGTGCATGGCAACTCCAGGACTGGGAGCACCCACTGTGACCCTCCCCTCTCAACATAGGGGAGAGTTGTTCGCAGTTCTGCCTTGGTCTGCTGGAATTGACCCAGTTGGTGCAATTCTCATATCTGCTCCCTGGAGAAGAGGGGTCCAGGGCTTGATTTTACAGTGAACTAGTGAAGAGGAAGTGACACTGTGGGAACTAAAGGCAGTCTGCCCCCAAATGTGCCACTTTGGCTTATTGGTTATTTTGAATTAAAGCTACTTTAAAAATAGCATTGCACGTGGGCGCCTGGGTGGCTCAGTGGGTTAAGCCGCTGCCTTCGGCTCAGGTCATGATCTCAGGGTCCTGGGATCGAGTCCCGCATCGGGCTCTCTGCTCAGCAGGGAGCCTGCTTCCCCCTCTCTCTCTCTCTGCCTGCCTCTCTGTCTAGTTGTGATCTCTCCCTGTCAAGTAAATAAATAAAATCTTAAAAAAAAAAATTAAAAAAAAAATAGCATTGCACGTACTTTCAAAATAGACCCTCCTCTGTACCCCTGAAAGCAGGAAAAAGATCTCCCACGTGAAAAGCACCCTCCCTATTCCAGGAGACAGGCAGAACTTCTTACACCAGAGATGGGGAATTCAGAGCTGAGAAGCCTGTGTCAGCCTGCCTTGTTACTTTTCACTAATTGATTACCATTGCCCAAATTCTGTTTAGAGTTCCTTATTAATGGAAGCCCCTAAAGTTAAGTTTTCTTTGTCCTTTCAGTTCCTCACAGATTTATTGTCTCTTTGTCTAAAAGTATAAGAACTTCCCACCTTGGGTTTCAATTTCATTCTTGGGCCTCCATTGCACACATAATAAAACTTACGGTTTTTTTTTTTTTTCTCTGTGAAAGTGTCTCAGGTAAATTTTAATTTTTAGTCCAGCTAGAAGACCTTGAAATGTAGGGGAAAGAATTTTTTTTTCTCATCAACATCATGGTCTTGATTGCCGCAGAGACATCACTCACTGCCTGCGTCACCATGAACAAATTACATTATCCCTCTGAGTCTCATTTTCCTTGTCTACAAAGTTCAAATGACGTAATTATTGACAATTTATATGGATATCAGATAGAACAACCTATGAAAAACCAGTTTGCACATTGCCAGGCACATAGCAAATGACTCAGAAATGCTAACTTTTTCCTCTCCCAGTTGTTGAGATCTGTGTCTTTAGTGCAAATATGACTTTAAATTTTCTGGTCAATAAATGGGGAGATACAGAGCAAAAGTAAAATGAATTGGTTAGCAGGTTTTTGTTAATACACAGATGAATTTATGTAGGCGAACACGAATTAGCATTAGTGATTATCACAGAAGGAGGCAGAGTCTCAAAACAATGAAGGAAAATTGGATAAGGCAATAAGGTAACCAGAATAATTATTTCGATAAAAGCAGGAAAAGGTGCTGGTGGGCAGTACCTTGACAAAAATTACACCAGATTTCGGGACCTCCTTGCTTTTTCTTGGCAGGGTAGGTGCTTTCAAAGTACAGAGCTGTATTTTTGCTATTGTAGCATGTTGGAGAGGAAACTCATTTTTCCCAAGAGAGATCAACATCACAGTCCAAAGGGCAGTGCACTCAGAAACCGAGAGGAATGTTTTGTTGGGAATGTACCTTCAGCAAATCCCTGAATTTGTGGGGTTCTGATTTCCCAGCTGTAAAATGAGAACTGCTGGACTTTCTAAGCAGGGTTCAAACCTCGAATGACATGGCCCACACACACAATGAACTTGGTCTTCCTCCAACCATGGAGGGCTCCCAAGTAGTCAGACTTACACAATAACTCAAGACAGGCAGAGGGAAAGAGAGTCTGCCGTAGAGGTTGAAGGCAGAACCAAAACAGACGTGATGTCATGTCTACTTGCATGATTCATCAAAGCAATCATCAGTTGGCCCAGATTTAAGAGGCAGGAGCCCAGACACCCTGTGTTTGAATGCAGGCATCCTGAATCCTCCACAAAAGTAACGCATATTTTGTGCTCCCGGTGACTCGACTCCATCGGAAGACATGGAGCAGAAGGGCCTGATGGTCGGTGAGCAGGCTCGATGCCTGGTTCTGAACACTGACTGAGGAATGGATTCTCCGATGTGCAGAGGAAGACTTAAACATCTGAGATATGGTGGACAAGACCTGTACCTTGAACAGAGATCGGGAGAGTATGAACATTCTCGTTTTCAAATATAGACTTTTCACTTTTCTGAATTAAATATTGATGTAGAATAAAAAGGAACTGAAGAAATGAGGGAAGAAATAAAAGAAAGAAAGAAAAGAAGAAAGAAGAAAACCCTGACGACCAAGAAATCGAGACAAGAGGCAAAGGAACAATAAAGGGCAATTCAGATGAAATTGTTATGGAAGAAATTTTCACCCTATTTATTTCCAGAAAAAAAAAAATGTGTACTGTGTTTCCATGATGCTTAAGACTGACTGTTTGGGAAGAAATGTGTGTCCCAGAATGGAAAAAAAAAAAAAAAAACAGAAGGAAAAGTAATTTGGGGAAGAGGAATTAACCACTGATGACACTGTATGTTAATAAACAAATTTGCAAAGTAGTAGGAAAAAATAAAGGGTAGACAGAAATGAGATAAATAGGAGGTTTGTTTTATGGATAAATTTGTGTTTATTAATGGACATTGCTCACAGTAACTAAAAGAAGTTCCGTGTTGAATTCATTTAATACTTCAAATGAGAAATTGGCTTTCAAAGTGAAAGGCCCTTTGTCCCGGTGATAATTTTGTAAAATGAGCCTTGCTTCTATCCCTTACAGTCATGGATATCCGGTATGTCTGTGGTTACTTTGTCAATACATAGTCCCACCCACAGAGATTGTCCCAACTATTAGGTCTGGGGTAAAACCAGAAGTGTGTATAGTTAACAAGCACCCCAAATATTCTGGAAAGCACTGCCCTATTGTAACCCAGAAATTTGACTTCTCCCCTAGACCCCCTACGTACAAACCATGGGATGGATGTTGGTATGGTTAGTATATCTATTTTCCCAATAAGAAGGAAAACTTTGAAATACACCAAATTTTGAAAAATAAAAAAGTTGGTTACAATGTTTTCTCCTTGGAGCCATCTTTTAAAAAAATACCTCCAATAGGACCAGACTGTTAAATTCACTGAGTAGGGCACATTTTTGGCAAGACATAGCCAATCTGGAAATGCCTCACTGCTAAAAATGCGAAATCAAGTAAATACGTTACACCCTTTGGCTTCATCTTCCATTAAAATTAAAAAATTCTTAGCTTTATATGCCTGTGACAGTTTATCGGGATTTTCTGACAGCGTCTTGGAGGAAGGCTGTCCACACTGGACGCAGAGTATGGCAAGTCTCAAAGGCCGGGCATGCGGTGGGAAAGAGCAGACCACGGGGAGCGTCCGGGTCTCTAAGGTTAGGCTTGACAGACAGATCTTTCCCTCTGCCACTTCTGCCGAGTGTCAGGTATTAAATAAGGAGGGAATGTGAGGTTTTATTGAATAGAGGAGTGCCCGTCGCCCGTCAGAGTGAGCGTTTGCTCAGACTGCATCAGAGAAAGTGTACTTAGACCACAGAAAATTATTTCTGGTTGTTTTTTTAAAACCTGGTGTGAATCGATAAAAATACATTTCTCTCTTGAAAATGCCATGTAAAGTATTGTTCTCTTTGAACTAATCATAAGCTTGAGCACCTGAGTGACATTGTGTTGATCTCTGGGGCTAATGTTGAAACTTCTGTTTCCAGTAAGAACATATGTCACATTCTCACCACAGAGCTTCTCAGGAAAAAACACGTTTTAATATGTAAAACTTCCTATGGCAGGAGCACAGGAAAAGATCCATTTGAGAAAAGATCTAGGTAAGGGAAGGAGGTGGTGTCCGGAAAAATTGTAAGACACTGAAATGGGGGAAAAGGATTAATGGTGCCTATGATGGAGGCCACTGGGGAGTATTTCTGGAAGGGCTTGCACCTCCAATCAGAGTTATTTTATAATTCAGTAAACTGCAGAAAGCTGATAGTAAAGCAAATAATTCTTGTACATAGAAATGCAAATGTATTTGTCTGGTGGGTACAACTGGTTATTGTTCTGGCTAATTACCAGCATTCCTGACTGGCTGTATGCCCTTTGAATTCTCCTTGGAATCAATTGTACCATCTTTTTTGTTCCTTCTAAATTAATGAATGAAATTAAATCCTCTACAAGTGTTCATTTCATGTTTTGAGTCCCAATTTTACTTTTTTTAAAAAAAAAGTTAAGCAGCAAATTAGGCAGGTATCTTTAACAGATTCTGTCATATGTCACCCACATTTAACCCTCAACTTCTTTTTTTTTTTTTTTTAAAGATTTTATTTATTTACTTGAGAGAGAGAGAGCAGGAAGGGAAGGGAGGGCAGAAGGAGAGGGAGAAGCAGACTCCCTGCTGAGCAGAGAGCTTGTCCCAGGTCTCGATCCCAGGACCGAGGGATCATGACCTGAGCTGAAGGCAGACATTTAGCCGACAGAGACACGCAGGCGCCCCAACCCTCAGCTTCTGAAAGAGCAGATTTCAGTGTAGTATTTTACATAAAGCCTGACACATCTCCTTTTTCTTTTAGCTTCAGACAAGCTTGAATGAGCCAATGACGTTATCCAAATCGATATCTCTTCCTCGTAGTGCGTACTGGCATCACATCACTCGTCAGAACAGTGTTGGAGAACTCTACAGCTTGCAAGGCAAGTAGCTTGAAAATAATAAAGCAGCGCCTCCGTTAGCCTCCTACAGGTGGGCCAGGAGTCATGGAAATTGCTTTGCTTGCCTTTCCTCCATTTTCATTTATCAGCTGTCACTGGCCACAGTGGGAACTCTGAGGTTTACAGTGGCTTTTCTAAAGCTATCATTTCATAGACTCACGGTAGAAATTTTTCCGAAAGTCATCAAGGGCTGAGGACCCTATCTGGCAGAGAAACTTGACTAGAACGTTATATGAAACCTATTACCAGAAGCTACGAGAAGCTGGTACTAGGGTCTGTTTCATGCTGTTTTATAAAGGATTTCTGTCTTAGCATCCTTTTTTCTTAATAAGATTGAATATCAGTTCAAGAGGCCAATTTCAGGCTCTGTGATAAAATGCTACATAAACCTATTCACAGAAGTCTTAAGGTTTAGCCAAAATCTTGGCATAGAAATAATGCTGGAGGGCACAAGGCAGGAGACAAGTGTGAAAACTTTGCTTCTGTATTTTTCCTAACGATAAATGGTTTAATCAACTGAAACGGGAATGGTTTACCAGATGAATCAAATTAATAGATAGCAAGTATTTCATCAAGAGCAGCACAAACCCCAGCTTTGGCATTTTTTCCCTCGTACTCTTTCCCTATTGTCTTAAAATGAATAATCTTATCCTTCAGATAAAATATTCAGCAGCAATCAATTGACTAACAGCCGACCAAGACCTAAGGAAGTAGGAACTTGGAAAAATAAGGCTAACAAAACACATTCATCCAACAAAAATTTTCTGAGCACAATAGATTTGAGTGTAATGGACACCCGATATGTGTCTGGTGAAGGAATGACTGGTATGACCTTCAGCACAGTAGGCATTTGGAATGTTTTTCAGTCATGCTTTAACTCTTGCTCATATTAACACAAAGTGTTTCAACAAAAACAACAAAATGTTTTGATGACAAGGAGACTGCAATGGTATATTTTTAAAGCAATATTTGCCAGGATTTCAAACCTAGACTAATGGAATTTGGTCAGTGGGAATTAATGATTAAAGACACATTCTGCAAGGAAGAACAGAACAGTTTTAGTCATTTGTGGATGACAATTACATTTTATATTTTAAACGAACCCTCTTATGGGTAGTTACTATCTTTTTGTGTTGTTGCTTTGCATGAGAAAATCCTTCCTAGGCTAGGGAGTATAGGATTTGAGAGGACTCCTGGCAGTTTTGTGGATCAGAAAGAGGAGACACATACCTCGCTTTTGCTTCCTTACAAATGCCAGCAACCACCTTCTAAAACAGCCTGAGTCATCATCTTAGGATTAGAAATAATTAGAAAATATGCTTTTAATGTAAGGTTATTTTTATTTAAACATAAACCTATATATGAAATGATTGTTAAAAAACAAAATTCAACTGAGTAAATTTTACCTATCATATTGGCTTAATTCAACAATGGTGAGCAGACAGCATGCCATCCAGCAGATAGGAGATCTTAGGAGCTATATATAATGAAAGACTTTTGTAGGCAGAGGGGCATGGGTAAGGAAGTTATACTGGCCAAGAATGGATTGGGTGTAGCAAGGTCACTTCTGCTTAGGGGCTATCAGGAGTCTTTCGGACAGATGACCTCACTAGTACTGACCAGGTAGTTCCCACTGATTGGTCTACAGTTCTTTCTCTTGGAGAGCTGAAATTGTAATGAAGTTACGTGTTAAGTCTCAGGTGGGCATTAAGGGGCTTAGCCTAAGTGACTCCATATTGAGCTTATTGTCTTGTTTTTAACAATATTGATGTTTAATCAAGTAAAAATAAAACCATGGAACATTTTCATGAGGAAATACAAATGAGCAAATTTCTAAGCAAATGAAAGTCAGATATTAATAGAAATAAGTTCAAAAAGGTTAGAATCAATGTTGTGATAACTTTGGTTTTGACAAGAGTTTGGTCTGTAATTCCAGCAAATGAAAGATTGTTTTCATGGTAGCATGTGGGGACCTATTCTCTGAACAGAGAGCTGACATTTAGACTGATGTACAATATCAGAAATAATTTCGTACGCATCCAACAAAAAATGTCAGAACTTGTTTAAATTTCTCAAAACATTGATGAAGACTTGAAGGGGGACAGTGCTGACTTACAATACAATAGAATCAATAACTGGACACTCTAGGATCCATCTCACTGATATTAATTTCCAGCAAAGGTAAGGATTTACATGCTCTTTCCATTATGATGAACAGTTTTCATGTAAGGTCTCGAATACACATTCTTCCTGGGTTGTTTATTGTTTATGTGTGTGTGTGTAACAAAGAAATATGCAGCAACTAAATATGTTTTGTGTGTGTGTGTAACAAAGAAATATGCAGTGACTACAAGTCCAATAAATATAGAATGTATTTGATGTAAATTGTATTTCACTCTACTATGGCTTTATTTTTATACTGTATGCTTCTCAGAGCAATACTTTTTGCCATTTTACCTACCCCTCATTTTATGTTTATATCACAGAGAGAGAGAGATAAACATCTAGATGGATAGCTAGATCATCAGTAAGTCGATTATATATGGATAGATACAGATGTAAACTTGTTAGTGATGCTTTGGCAAAGCTGATACATTTTACTCTCCTTTCGTTCTCTTGAGGCTATCAAGGTAAATAGAGGACAAGAGTCTTTTAACCGTAGTTGGCTTTTGGGTTTTTTTGGGGGAGGAGGGACGGTTATTGGTGTGTAATTGACACAGGCTTTGCCTTCATGGAATCAGGACAGGATAAAACTACCAAAACAGGAAATAAGAATGGAAAAAGTGAAACTTAGCACCTTTTCTTCATACATATCTACACTTTTTTTTTTCCAAGAAACTACATTTGATGCCTCCCATCTGAGTTACTTTATAATGCAAGAAATTGCAGAAAGCTAAAGAAGTACATAGTCTGATTTTCAAGAATCAAGGGAGAAATCAGGCAATGCTGGGTGTTACATCGTCAAGTAAAGTGTAGGTAGCACTGAGGAATAAAAATGTATCTTCAGAATTTTTCATCATATTTTCTACATTCTAGCTGTGAAGGTGAGATCAATATGAATTAAATTCAGCGGGTTTTCGTTCAGAAGATAAATGGGGAAAAGCTTTCTCTATCTAAAGCTTCATAGATTGGGATTCATTAAGAAGCAGCACATGTACTAGAACTGAGAAATATTCATGGTGTGAAAACAAATCTATTCCACATTATGACGTACCTCTACCTTCGATTGCCTGTCGCCCTCAAAACTGTACTTGCTCAGTTTTATTGGATTCATTTCTGTCCTCCATTCTCTAACTATAGGAGCAAGATACTCTCTAAAAGACCAATGTATCAATACTAACATCTAAATAAAATAAAATAAAATAAAATAGGGCGCCTGGGTGGCTCAGTGGGTTAAGCCGCTGCCCTCGACTCAGGTCATGATCTCAGGGTCCTGGGATCGAGTCCCGCATCGGGCTCTCTGCTCAGCAGGGAGCCTGCTTCCCTCTCTCTCTCTCTGCCTGCCTCTCTGCCTACTTGTGATCTCTGTCTGTCAAATAAATAAATAAAATATTAATAAAATAAAATAAAATAAATAAAATTGACATCCTGCATTTACTTTAATGTTTGGAAAAGAAGTGCAATGTAATCTTCTAAATCTCTCCATGCTACTCCAGAATGATGCTCTGAAAGTGTAAGTTTTTCTGGTTTCTGTCTTGTACTCCAGCTCTCTGGAGTCAAAAGACTAACAAAAAGAATAATTTGCCTTAACAAGGGCAAGTTAGCTAAGGACTAGGCAGTTACTATGGAAAATCCCTACTGTAAGGGGCTTGTGAGAGATTGGAGCAAGTCACCTCTTCTTACAGAAGGTGTGAGTAAAGACTTCCTGTTCCCAGTTTTTGCCAGATAATAAGGATGATTAGTTTGTATTAGAAAGTAATTTTGCTTCTATTTCTCTGTTTAACACATTTATGAAAAATGTTTGTGTCACAACACGCTGTAGAGATGCTATGTCTAGACTTGGGGAAACCATTCACTTCAAGAGAAGGAAACATGATTTTGAACTCTTGACTCAAAACTAAGTGCCACTTCTTTAATATTGCTAGAATTGTGATTTTGGTTCTAAGGCCTTCAGCAGATGTGTTGAGAATACCAGGAACACTCAAAACAACAACAACAGCAAAAAAAAACAGGTGAGAGGATGTTGGTTAGAGTTTTCCTTCCTTTGGAAGGTCATCACCTTGACTTGTAATCACCGTTCTCATAACTGTATGACACATTGTGTGGCAGAGTCTTTAAATCGGAATTTGTGAAGATGGCAAAGCACTTACTGAAAATGACAACTCAATGTAGTAAAAACCACCGATGGTCCCAGGCTCACCGCAGGCAATCACCGAGTCTTTGTTGAATGAATGCAAAAATGAATTTTAAAATGCATTAGAAAGGATGGACTAGCTCGTCTCCTCCCTGTGGAAAATTCTCACCCGTCTTGCAGAAGGAATCCTCATATCCGGTCCCACACACGGCCCGTCCTGGGCCCCCGCCTTCCCCTTGCACACGCTTCAGCTTGTCTGCTTCTTGCTCCGGGACTGCCTTGACTCCGCAACCACTTGCTCCTGCTGGTCTGCATTTGGCAAACACAGGAGGTGCCACGAGAGGCTTGGCCCCATCCCCATAACCCGAGAGCTGGGTTTCTGTCTCTGTCTACCGGCTGCTTTCCCTCCAGAGAAGATCATCCACCAGTTCCACTGACGTGAAGGGGAGACAAGAAGGTGGGCAGAAAACGAGCTTTGGGACCACGTGCTGTCCTTACATTTTCCCTGATACATTGCACCACGTGTTTTTACGCAAAATTATATGGGATATACTGCGACTGGGTTTTGAGCAGCTTGAACAACCTCACTGTTTGAATCAAGGAGGATGCGGGGGTGGGGGCCTCTTGTAAAAGTGGTAACTTTTGGTTAGCACTGATTAATATGCACATCCCAGCTCCGAATCGCCTG